ATTTTTACTCAAGAGTATATTTAAGAACTACAGAAACAAATTATTTTAAATTTTTGTTTCATTATAAAATTGTTTTTGAAAACATTTTTATTAATCAACTCTGCTTATTTTTATATGCAAGAGCACTATTAATTCCTATGCATGTTAGGTTTTTCGGATTGTGTCATATGAATTTAATATTGAGAAACTTATTGCACCAGTGTTATTTATATTTGTTCATTTGTCATATCTGTCAATCGGCTGTTATGTTGCGCAAGAAATTACTGATTACAACAACGACGTGTTTGTTACTGTGTAAGAATCACATATTGTAAATCTAATTCTCGCGCGCGCAATTGCTTTTATTTTAGAAATCATTTGTATGATTAGAATTAATCACACTAATTTTATATTGTTTCAATTATCATCTTATCTTTTTCTTATATGTGTTATATATAGATATAACATCCAGTGGTACCTAGCTCCTTTGGACACACAAAAAATGATACTGTTTCTATTGCAAAAAGGTAAAAATGCTTTCCAACTCACTTGCGGTGGAATATTTGTAGGATCATTGGAAACCGCTGCCACGGTAAGCATCATGCATGTAGCAAAGTTATATAAAAAACGCGACACATGATTTAAGCAGATAGTAGTAAAAAAGAATACGTTTTTTATTACAGTTACTGAGTACTACCATATCNTACTTTACCGTCCTTTATTCTGCTCGGCAATGACGCAAAGGATTTAGCACATATCGCGAATTAATTGATGATGATACAGAAACAGTTAGATGAAATAGTTGCAAATTGTTATAATGATAAAAAAAGAAAACCAGTATAAAAATTATGAAAACATATAAAGCAACAGTGACGAAAACAAGACACTACATTAAAACTTATCGGAAATAAAATTTATCAATGATAAGTCATCTAATGTGGGGAAAAGTGAAAAATTGACATTTTTATACAGGTTCCAAGCTGGCTCTAACNTAACGTACGCGCGTCGGCAATAATCAAAATACACATGAAAGCCTATAGGAAACGAACTTTACATCACTCCAAAATAATAATGTTTACAAAATATTATTTATACAGTTAAAATTTCATATTTCCAAGATTATGAATTTTTATTTATCACGATAGTCGTAATACACAATTGAAAACTAAATAAGTTTTTGTAAAGCAATAGTTCTCTATTAGCTTAATTCTATAGTGTACTTCAAAGTTTTTTTAATTATTTGTTAAATACTAGTAAAAATGTAGAAAAATTTTAAATAAATAAAATACATTTCGTAAAGTAAAACTTTTCATATACATTTCAAACTAACGCATTATTTACTACATATACATTTTTAATAAAGCAGGATTTGCATTCTTACCAATGTAAACACACACACACACACACACATTATAAGTTATTGAAAATCACTCGCTTTACGCGTTACATACCTGAACAATAAAAATTTCTATAAAGACTCAAAACATATCATGACTAGTTGAGATGGTAGCATAAAGCAAACTGATACAATGTATTGCTTGGAAATAATTCCATTCGCCTGCGCAATCTACAATCCCCCTAAAAAAAACATAGTTCTCTATGGAAAAAAAAACATCTGTTTTTCTGTCATCATTACATCGATCGCACACTAAACGCGCACTTCTTTTCAAGGGGAAGTGTTAAATTGAGAGTGAATCGATATTGTAGTTTAAATGATAGTTACATTTTGCGTTCCATACTATATTAAATTGCCACACTTATGTCGAGTTATAGTAAAACATAAAAACTGAAAAATATTAAGTGTAAGATTAAAAATTGAACAAATGATTTACTCAATTTTTCTACATAAAGTATGTATCGAAGCTTACGAAGAAAGATGATCTGTGTTGAAACTTTTCACATTAATCTTAACCGTATTATGTTACTTGCTGTTGGCCTATGGCCTTATCAGCAATCCAGAATTGTACGAGTACAATTGGCCTTTTTTTTTAGTATTTTGACATCTTTTATAGTATTTCAGGTACGTTGCTACACTCTTACAAGAATATTAAAATAAATTTATCAATATAATAAAGCATGTAATTTTACTTATATACGTACTTATTTGTGCTACCAAGTTTGTTATCTTATCAAATATTGTCCTGCTCACTTCTTCGAGTTAAATAAAATAGACTTAATTTTTTGTTTTTGCAAGAAACATATTTACGTGAAATTGTCTTGTAGCTTACAGCATTTTTGACTTTAGAATGTACTCCGGATCTTGTGATTGATGTACTATCGTCTACATTATTTTTCAGCACTCTTCTGATCAAGTATAGTTTGTTTTATATTAATATAAAAAGTGTACGTATACTGTATATAATGAGTGTATAAATTGGCTATGTATACACAATAATATGCCTTTCCATCCGTTTACTTTTGTGATATTTGATGCAATATTCACTTCAAGCACGTATACTTACTAACTCACAAAAGTAACAGCATATATACAAAATATAATTACTACGATAATAGGTACAATATTCATTGGAAGAATTGCAACGTATTTATAACGGATTAAAAGACAAAAATGAAATCAATATTATAAAGAAGTACGGTATCTATGCAAATCTGTACACAACAATACTTATGCGTAAGACCAATGCTATTGATTTTGTAGTTATTTAAGATATAACTTATATAACATATTTGGAAGTAGATCAGAATACGCGCGCGTTTGCAAATTCTGTGAACAATTCTGTAGAACAAAATTTATTTTCTGTTTAGTGGTAGCCATGTCAGTTGTTTTTCTTTCGGCTGTACACATTTTGTGGCCAAGCATTCTTAATACTTTCTTATCTACAAACATGTCGCGACATCCTTCAATGTTGTTGGTAACAGAATATTTTATCGACAAAGAAAGATATCTTTATCTGATTTTGTTGCACACGCACATGGCTCTCATAATCGGATGGTTCTCAATGATGGCGACAGGAGCACTACTTCTTGCTTATTTTCAGCATATCTGCGGAATGTTTCAAATCGCCAGGTAAGACAAAAGTAATAAAAACATTTTGTCCACAAAAGTATAACTACGACAAGGGAATCGCTTACAGTTACCGTTTGGAGCAAGCAATGATGATCAATAGTCTGCAAACTATTGGCGTACAGAAAAAAAACTACATTTATAAGAAAATGATTTGTGCCATAGATATGCATCGCAAAGCTTTGAAGTAAGTATTTATTTATCTAACAATAGATAAATCTGTGTTCAGTATGTATTTACGTTTTAGACAATTTACATTTTTTTCAAGATTATCTGATTCATTGATATCTAACTTTAATACAATGTTTTTCTTGTTGATAATTGTCGGTGTGAGTTGCGCAAGTCTCACCTGTTTTCGGGTAAGTAATTTTGATACAAAATAGAAAAAAGTGATATTCTTATCTCAAAAATATATAGAAACATTAACGATAAATTATTGTATAACGTGTTGCTTTACAGCAACAAAAATAATAGTTTAAAATATTTGTGTAACAATTAATTACTTAGTTTTATGTAAGACTAATATAATTGCTATGTATTTGTAGGTTTTTAATGCTTTAACACACGGATTCGATATTGAAAAAGTTCTAACACCTATGGCATTCATATGTTTTCATTTCTTGTACATGTCCGTAGGCAATTATGTTGCGCAAGATGTGACGGATCATAATCATAACGTATTTGTTACTGTGTAAGAAATACATACGTGTATAATGTAATTGATCAGTTCATTTGTCTTTAACATGATAATCAAGCACGATCAGAATTATGCAAAAATTTTATCCTATTTTTATGGTTATTGATTTATTTCTCTCTTTCTCTTTTTCTGTCATGAATGTTATATAGGTATTGCATTCAGTGGTATTTAGCTCCTTTGCATGTGCAACAATTGGTATTGTTTCTGTTGCAAAAGGGTAGAAAGCCTTACCAATTAAGTTGCGGATTTGGAATTGTTGTAGGATCATTGGAAACCGCTGCTACAGTAAGACATATGTCTCTAGTTTATAGTTATTTAACAAACGTGACATGATTTGAACATATACAACAAGATAGAACATGTTTCTTATTACAGTTATTAAGTACTACCGTCTCATATTTTACTGTCCTTTATTCTACGCAACAATGATATAAAGACTATAGCACCTATTAGTGCAAATTAAGTAATGACAAACAAGTTAGATATAGATATTAAGATGTATAATAGAGTTGTATAATTAATAAAAAAACAATATATATACTACTATATTTATTAAACAAAAAATAAAAACGTTAAAAACACCTATGAAACCACATAGATTGTCATTTGAGATTTGCCACAAAAATGCCTTAGTTTCTACATCTACACATTTACACAAGTAACATTTATATTTTTTGCAATTGTAAAAAGTATAAGATATTTACCGCCAGAATAACTCGAAGAATGAATCTTTTACAAAACTAAACAATTATCATTTTGACCAAGTATCAAACAAACATGACTAGTTGAGATGATGGTATAAGGCAGACTGGTCAAAAGTATTGCTAGAAACAGCTTTATGCGCCTGCGCAATCTGCTGATGAAGAATCATCGTTTGAAAAACATTTTTTTCTCTATGGAAAAAAGAACATCTGTTTTTATGTCGCCATTATATCGATCGCACACTAAACGCGCATTTCTTTTCGAGGGAAAGTGTTAAATTGCAAGCAAATCGATGTTGTGGAGCAGGTGTTTGTTACACTTTGCATAGTATATTAAATTGAGTCACTTATGTAGACTTATAGTAACAATATATTCAAACTGACGAAAATGTGAAGACATGAATCACTCGACTCTTTTACACATAAAGTACATATCGATGCTTACGGAAAGAAATGATCTGTGTTGAAACTCTTCACATTAATCTTAACCGGATTATGTTACTTGCTGTTGGCCTATGGCCTTATCAGCAATCTAGAATTGTGCAAGTTCAATTGACGATATTTTTTGGTATTTTGACATCTTTTATAGTATTTCAGGTATGTTGTTACACTCATAGAAGAATATTATCAAAATGAATATGTCAATAGCGCAAGTAATTTTATTTATATGTACTTATTTGCTGTCAAGTTTTTTATCTTATCAAATATTGACCTGCTCATTTTTTCGAGTTGAATAGAATAACCTTATAATATTGTACTGCAAAAAAGATATTTACGTAAAATTGTCTTGTAGCTCACAGCATTTTTGACTTTAGAATGTACTCCGGATCTTGTGATTGATGTTCTATCGTCTACATTATTTTTCAGCACACTTCTGATCAAGTATAGTTCGTTTTGCATTAATATAAAAAATGTAAGTATATTGTATGATAATTATATGTACTTTTATTTGCTTACCTTTGTGATGCAACACTCAGTATATATATGCGTAACCTTATTTTGTGGCAAAAAAGTAATAAAATATATACAAAATATAATATACTTTAAAACGGTCATAGGTAAAATATTTGTTGGAGGAATTGCAGCGTATTTATAACGGATTAAAAGACAAAAATGAAATCAATATTATAAAGAAGTACGGTATCTATGCAAACTTATACACAACTATATTTATGCGTAAGACCAATGCTATTAATTTATGTGGTTGTTTTGAGATATAGCTTATATAACATATTTGGAAGTAGAGTACGCCCGCGCGCGTTTGCAAATTCTGTGAGCACGTGTAACAATATTAATTTTCTGTTTAGTGATAGCCATGTTACTTGTTCTAACTTCTGCTGTACACATTTTTTGGCCAAGCATTCTTAATACTTTCTTATGTACAAACATGTCGCGACATCCTTCAATGTTGTTGGTAACAGAATATTTTATCGACAAAGAAAGATATCTTTATCTGATTTTGTTGCACACGCACATGGCTCTCATAATNGGATGGTTNTCAATGATNGCGACNGGAGCNNTACTTNTTGNNTATTTNCAGCATNTCTGCGGAATGTTNNAAATCGCCAGGTAANNCAANNGTAATAANAACATTTTGTNCNCAAANGTATAACNACGANAANNGAATCNCTTACAGTTANCGTTTGAAACAAGCAATGATGATCTATAATCTGCAAACTATTGGCGTACAAAAAGAAAACTACATTTATAAGAAAATGATTTGTGCCGTAGATATACATCGCAAAGCTTTGAAGTAAGTATTTATTTTTTATCTAACAAGATACGTGTTTAGTATGTATTTACGTTTTAGACACTTTACATTTTTTCAAGATTATCTGATTCATTGATATCTAACTTTAACACAATGTTTTTCTTGTTAATAATTGTCGGTGTGAGTTGCGCAAGTCTCACCTGTTTTCGGGTAAGTGATTCTGTTTCAAAGCGATATTTAAACCTTAAAAGTTGACTGAAAAACTTCACTGATAAAGTATTTTATAACGTTGCTTTTCAACAACAAAAATAATAGTTTAAGATATTTATTTATAATAATCAATTACACTTAGCTTTATGTAAGACTGTTATTATTTCTATGTATTTATAGGTTTTTAATGCTTTAACGAACAGATTCAATTTTGAGAAAATTCTAACACCTATGACATTCATATGTTTTCATTTTTTGTACATGTCCGTTGGCAATTTTATTGCGCAAGACGTGACGGATCATAATCATAACGTATTTGTTACTGTGTAAGAAATACATACGTGTATAATGTAATTGATCGGTTCAGTTGTCTTTAACNTGATAANCAAGCACGATCANAATTATGCAANANTTTTATCNTANTTTNATGNTTATTNATTTATNNCTCTCTTTNTCTTTTTCTNTCATGNATGTTATATAGNTATTGNATTCAGTGGTATTTAGCTCCTTTGCATGTGCAACAATTGGTATTGTTTCTGTTGCAAAAGGGTAGAAAGCCTTACCAATTAAGTTGCGGATTTGGAATTTTTGTGGGATCATTGGAAACCGCTGCTACAGTAAGACATATATCTTTTTGTTGTATAATTATTTAACAAACGTGATATGATTCAAACATATACAACAAGATAAAACATGTTTCTCATTACAGTTATTCAGTACTTCCGTCTCATATTTTACTGTCCTGTATTCTACGCAACAATAACATAAAAAATATAGCACTTATATTGCTAAGTAAGTAATGATATAATCAAGTTTGATATAGACTTTAGATGTATAACAGAGTTGTATATATTTAGTAAACAAAAAATTATATATTATTATATTTATTAAACAAAAGTATGAAACTACATACTTGAGATTTGCAAAAAAATACCTTATTTAGTACATTTACACATTTACACAAATAACATTTATTATATTTCTTGCAATTGTAAAAAGTATAAAATATTTATATCGCCAAAATGACTCGAAGAATGAATCTTTTACAAAACTGAACAATTAACATTTTGGTGAAGTATCAAACAAGACATGACTAGTTGAGATGATGGTATAAAGCAGACTGGTCAAAAGTATTGCTAGAAACAACTTTATGCGTCTGCGCAACTTATGATCACCGTTTGAGAAAAATGTTTTTCTCCTTATGGAAAAAAGAACATCTGTTTTTATGTCACCATTACATCGATCGCACACTTAACGCGTATTTCTTTTTGAGAGGAAGTGTTAAATTGCGAGCGAAATGGTGTTGTGGAACAGGTGTTTGTTACACTTTGCAGAATATATTTAATTGAGTCACTTATGTGGAATTACAGTAAAATAACATTCAAGTGGACTAGTAAAACTCAAAGAAATGAACTATTCGACTTTTCTAAAGTTTATATTGATGTTTACAAAGAGAGATGATCTGTGTTGAATCTCTTCGCATTAATCTTAACCGTATTATGTTACTTGCTGTTGGCCTCTGGCCTTATCAGCGATCTAGACTTGTACGAATTCAAGTGATCATACTTTTTGCTATTTTGACATCTTTCATAGTATTTCAGGTATGTTGCTATACTTTTAAAACAATGTGATACCAACGAGTGTGTCAGAATAATTTGCAAATGTAATAATATTCATAATCTTCAATTATATTGTTGTGTAATATAGTTGTACTACCTTCTTAGATACTGACTAAAGGTTTGTAATATTCTTCCCAGTGGATAAAGAAATAATAATTACATTTTTCTGCAAGAGATATATTTAAGAGTGCAATTTTCTTTTAGCTCACAGCGTTTATGACTCTAAAATGTACTCTGGATCTCACTATCGATGTTCTATCGTCTACATTATTTTTTAGCACTTTTGTGATTAAGTATAGTTCGTTTAGTATTGACATAGAAGGTGTAAGTATATTGTGATACTTACATATATGTAATTCCGCGATTACACATACATTTGTTTAGTTGAAAAAGTAAACCAACCACATGTAATGTATAAAATCCATTATTAAAACGATGATAGATAAAATGTTTGCTGGAGGAACTGCAGTATATTTATAATCAATTGAAGGACGAGAATGAAATCGATATCTTAAAAAAGTACGGTAACTACGCGAGACTTTATACGGCTGCATTTATGCGTAAGATCAATATGTTTGATTTGTTGGGTTTAGTTGTGAATTATATATCGTATTTAAAACTTATTCTCTAATAAATTTGTAAATGTTTTGAGCAAGTTTAACAATTGTCAATCTCTGTTTAGTGGTGGCTATGTTTGTCGTAATTAATTCAGTTGCGTACATAGTGTGCCCGAGCATTCTTAATAGATTTTTACCTACAAATGAATCCCGACATCCTTCGTTGTTATTTGTAACAGAATACTTTATCGATAAAGAAAGATACGTGTATCTGCTTACATTGCACGAACACATGGCTTTTTTAATTGGAGGATTCTCAATGATAACGACAGGATCTATAATTATAGTTTGTTTACAATATACCTGCGGAATGTTCCGTATCGCCAGGTAAGACGGAATTAACATGAAAATGCAAGAATAGATTTGTTCGCAAATGTGTAACCACGATAAGAAAATCACTTACCGTTCAAAATCAGTTACCGTTTCGAGCAAGCAATGGAGATCTGCAGTCTACAAAATAATAGGGAAAACTTGATTTACACGAGACTGGTTAGTGCCGTAGATATGCATCGCAAAGCTTTGAAGTTAGTATTTGTGTAACTAATATAATAGATATATGAGTGATACGTTTACATTAGATTATTTATATTTTTTCAAGATTATCCAAATCATCGATATCCAGATTTAATTTAACATTCTTCCTTATGATAATAGTCGGTGTGATTGACGGAAGTCTCAATTATTTTCGGGTAACGTGTGTGTTTCTTTTTCAAAAGCATTTGAGAATTAACAACAAAATATTTCATAATGTTGCTTTATTATCGTGAATACGTCACTAATCGTTTGTTCTTAGTTTTATTTAAGGATAATATTAGGGTTCAATGTGTATGTTAGGTTTTTCGAGTTGTGTCATACGAATTTGACATTAAGGAACTCATAGCACCGGTGATATTTATACTTGTTCATTTCTCGTACATGTCAATTGGCTGCTACATTGCGCAAGAAATTACGGATTACAACAACGACGTGTTTATCACTGTGTAAGAAATACTTACGTATTATAATGTAATTTTTAATATAATCTAATTTTATCTTTAGTTTAATTATTAGCTTATCTCTCGTATGCGTTATACGTAGATATAGCATTCAGTGGTACCTAGCTCCTTTGCACGTACAGAAAATGATACTGTTTCTATTGCAAAAAAATAAAAATGCTTTCCAACTCAGTTGCGGTGGAATATTTGTGGGATCATTGGAGACTGCCGCTACAGTAAGAAAGATGTATATGTACATATATATGAAAGTTTATACGCAAAATGTGACAAAAAATTTAAACCAGTAAAGTCAAAAATTTTTCACGTTTTTTGTTCATTACAGTTATTGAGTACTTCCGTATCGTACTTCACTGTTATTTATTCTACGCGGCAATGATAGAGAAGATATAGTGACTGATTGTAAATTTTAATAAATAATTGTGTACAATAGAAAAATAATGATAAAAAGAAAAAGAAGAAGTCTGTTAGAGAAAGTTGTAAAACTTATTTCTATGAATACAAAAAATAAAGCAAGCTCTAAAAAATCTATCCAAGCAAAAAAGCAATAATAAAACCTTGTACCACACATTTTTCCAGTAAGAAATTATGTTATGGTTATACAATCAAAAAATTAAAATACGTACTGTGTTGTTCTTACGGCTTTAGCACAAGCGCTGCAAACCTGGAGATTTTTATTTCGATTTCGAGTCCGCGAACTATATCAGACCAAAAATTAATTCGAGTGAGAAAATGAGGAAAATCTCGAACTTTTTTTTTAAAAAACGGCCCGAAATTCGCGCCAAGATAGACCAGTCAATTCAGACTGGCGTGATGCGCAACATTGTTTAGATAAACAGGAGCAGAGGAAGACTGAGAGCGGCCACGGCTCCTGTTTAACTGTTACCGGTTTTCCACACTATTCGCCAGCGCTATGTCCGCGGTGATGCACATTGGCAACTACGTAGCCATGTCCACGGGTTTGTCGGTGAGTTGCTATATACACGCATGCCTATGATTCTTAGAGGTATTATCAAACAATCAACAGATGTCACTATAAATAGAATGGCATATGTGGATATCCTATCCTATAGAAATTCTCTGTGAGCTACACTTTCAACCAAACCTATACTCAACACTCAATTGTATTGTCTGTGTATATCTTCCTGTCTAATCAAAAATATATATTGCATACCGCTAAAATATTTAGATTCGTTTGATGTTTGTTGAATTAATTGTGCAGATACCATTATCTTCATATGAGAAGATTCATCAAGTTAAATATTGTTTAACATTTATACATAGTAGTTGAATTCTAATTTTGTGTGACAGATATATATCTGTAAGAAAAGTAAGTAAGAAAACTAACTTGCGCTTACAAGTTTTGATACATACATGTTTTGATACTTACATATTTTGATACGTACAATTGTAAATAACAGATGATGATTTCTTGCATATATTATTTCAGGAGGAGAGACGTGATAATCAAAATGGTAAAAATAGCAATGCAAATTACGTGTAGACTCGACAATGTTGAGGAACTGAAGCCTTGCGGGCCCGAATTTAGATGGTATCTGAAATTTACTTGCTGCAATTGCGGACAGAAGTCAGATAAATGGAATTACGCATCCTTGGATGAATCCACACCGGTTACACGTGGAAGCGGTGTTAATCACTTTGTGAGCAAGTGCAAGCTCTGCTGCCGAGAGAACTCTATGGCAATAATAGAGGATTCAATCAAGTCATTTACAGCAGATGATCAGGGACAATTTAAAACTATCGTCGTATTCGATTGTCGAGGAATAGAACCCTCTGACTTTTCAGCGAGAGAAGGATGGATAGCCAAGGCTATAAATGGAGGCAAAGAGTTTACTGATGTGGATCTTAGCGAAGGCGAATGGGAAGACTACTGTGACAAAATCATGGAACCCGTTGGGATATATGAGATCAAGCATAAGTTTGAACGGATTAAATAGATTGTATATTTTTTGACATGCGCATTTTTTTTACTTATGAATTTTGTGACAATTGACAGCGTTTTGGATTTATCAAAGTGACAAAACTATGTTCGTCACATGTAAATATGTATGTATAAAGCACATACATGCGTACACACATATAATTTCTATACTTTTTATAATATTTTTGTGCAAATTATTAATATATTCTAATGTTATACATGAAACAATATGTATACAAATTTACACTTATTAAGCTTCGTTCAAGCTTAATTATGTGAAGTTGATCTTTAAGTTATACATAGAGCTACATATCTGCAACATTTGTAGATAAGCTTATGCCTGTACCTGTAATTAATGATAAACATGTTAGAAAATTATCATAAACTCAGATTGATCACAAATAATACACTTTCAACCAATTATATATTGTGACTTTATAAAACCTTGTTCCATTCACACACACTCGCGTATGAATCCAATATGACTACCTGTGTCATTTATTTGATAGATATGCAAAGTTTTTTTAATATGCTTAAATAAAAAAAAATATAACTTATCACAGCGATGAAATATTTTTTATACATATGAAAAACATTTCTTTCATTCTGTTGTATCAAGGTAAAGAGTAAAAAGAGTACCGATCCAACGACATAATATAATTTATTCATAATCATATAAAAAAACCATTTTATTTCATAAATGGCTTAGTACACAAGAGATGTTGTTTGCAACAATAATACCACTCTTCCTCCAAGCGTGTTCAGGAGTTGCCTGTACATACCCTGCGTAAATAATCAAGTGACTAGTCGCATTTGTGGCAAGGGTAATATTGGAAACTGTGTGGCCAACTTGCAAATCGACTTGGACAACTGTCTCTGTTCCAGCGCCAACACAAACTTGCATTTTGGAATGTCGATGCAATGGCATAAGAATCATCAAACTTATGACAAATGTATGTATATTATATATTATAATTCGCCTTATACGTTTATAAAAATTAAAATGTTCCTCGGTTAAAAATTATTTTATATACACAGTATTTTTTTTCACGTATAAAACTTTCGAACAACTTCCCACTTAACAATAGTTAGCGTACCGCGTAAAGATTTTTCGATTGACGATCGAAGTGACTCTCGCAGTCCGTCCCCACAGTAAGCTAAATCAACAGAAAGTCGATCTTCGTAAAAGAAAACCGGAAAGACATAATAAAAAAATAAATCACAAAACGCGATTCTCGGAAGAAATAAAAAAACAAAACAATAACTTCGTTTACTTGACGATTGCCTAATGCACTAACACTACTGCCTCTATATTTATCTAATGCTTTCAATGTACTATGCTCCCTAATATCTAACACAAATAAATATATCGCGCGCGCGTATTACAATCCGTCGTTCCTGAAAAATCTTCAACACATGAATCACATTTAAGTAACCACAAAATTTTTAATCTAACAATTGATAACACTATTCAGTCTATTCTCACAAAAATATCACTATGACCGAAAATATCGACGGTTTATAGAACCAGAGTCAAAACTTACGCAAACTACTTATTAATCTTAGTTTCGAGAAATAAATAAATATATATATATATAAATAACATAAACTTTGAAAATATTCTCAAAACAAAAGTATATCTTTTTTGTTTCAAACTATGTGCATACGTATGTTTGAAACGCTTTTAAAGATTCTACTTGAAAAAAAAAAAAAAAACAAACAACATGTGACAAAAGTACAACGCAAATTTATTAAGAGAAAAATTGGAATGAAATATTTGACTCTGGTCCACGTGGAAGATTTGTAATCCGCTTGACGTAATTCGAACAATTATTTTTTATCAGCAAATCGAGACTCTAAAGACGCTTTAACGATAATTCTCTAATAGTACGAATATGCATCCTGTATTTTTTTGTTTTTTTTTTTTGTTTTTTGGTTTTTATTTTTTGATCGGTTAAACGGTTCTAATCTACTATCTAGCTACTCTATCATCTTTGGTATACTAAGTTGGGGGGATGTTAATTCTATTCAGAGACACAGATGACAATCGCTCGCGGGGAAAATTTCTTTTTCGGTGACACAAATATCGCGTAGAAATAGGAACATTACGAGTAATATGTGTATAAGCTAGTTGGTTGTTACATCCCCTTTTTTTTGTTTTGCGAAGAGAGAAATGATTATTGTTATCGAAGATTATCGTCCTTGATGTGGAAAATAAAGGACGTTTACAATTGAATCGGGAACAATAGCGAAGAAATGGATCACACAAAGTACAGCTTTTCCACTTAGGATGTACACAGCGAAAGACGACCCCGACGACTTTATGATAATATCTCATAAGCGCTCCTACATTCAATTAAAGGTGACAAGTTTACGTGCTATATATATTATAAAGTCATATTTCTGGAATAGATCGAATCGAAAAAAATCGAGAGCGTCGGGGAAGGAAAAACTTTGATTTGTGTATTTTAAATATGTTTATTTCTATCATGCTTTATTAAACCGCATTTCTGTAGTTGCAGTCTGAGTTTGTTTTGTGTATGTATAGTTTATTGCACATTCTTTTTAATCTATTTAATCCCCTTTGGGCCTCACATCTGTTTGCGCGTTTACGAAATATTTCTTATAAAAATTAGATATATTTAGATAATTAGACATATATGTTGTTGCTTAGGAAGCTTACATATAAGGGATCTTGATGAGGCTCAAACGGTCAACGGGATATGTCAGTCATCCCTGTGTTTAGCAAATGTCCTTTCCCGACCATCTCGATTAAGATTGGGCCGTATTCATTGGGCATGTATCGTTTAATGTTTTCCTAATGTCTAAATCGATTATATGTATATACGTTTCGAATCATCTATCTGCTAGCTAAATCTCACCGTGATTTTTCTAAATCTGTTAGATGTGGGTACTTCTAAACGTCTACGCTTTTTTTGATACTGGAATATTAATTGTTCGTGTAATTTATTATTTTTTATCATTTTCTCAAGTTTTTTTTTTTTTACTACAAGAGTAAGTGTTTCTTTGTTTTTCTAAGATATATCAAAACTAGGAGACACCTCTGAATAGGCCCCGGTAAGATGTCAGATGTCTGAGCTCAAACCTTAGAACGCTAACGGAATTGCCAGAACCTAATGTCTCGATCTAGAATATTCTATTTTTCTGCTTAATTATTACAAATTTTGTGATACTTTATTATAATAAGCGATACATATATGTATATTATGCATTATTTGAAAACAATTGTTTACATAATAATAGTATTAGGAAAGATATTGAAAATGTAACATTACTCTCTCCCGCGGAGAAAAAAGTTCCTTATATACGGGCAAATTTTATATCTGGTTATATATAAAACTATGTACAATCATATATGAGCGATCCCTCTCAATCTCATATATAAATATATATAATTAAATATAATATTATTTATCGAATTTGCCCATGTATACAGAATTTTTGTCCAGAATTCTTATTGATCCAGGGTTCTAATTAATTAATCTGCAATATCTTAATTATCTACAATTCCACGTTAGCGTTCCGGAACAAATCTATATCATATTCGACGATCCGTATGCGAATTCTCTGTTTGTCATCATCTAGAATAGTTGTCGGAACAAGCATTGTAACAAATAGATCAAAAATGATAAGCTAGCGAAGACTAATCTCTAGCTACAATCAAAAGTCGGCCTACTCTACGCGAAAAATTTCAAAGTAAAAACTTCTTAAAAACCGTTAAGTAATAAAAACAACAGAACGAAACAATGCCCAGCGAAGATACACGACACTCAATTCTGACGGTCTTGTTTTCCTTTTACTTTTCTCTTTCTCTCTCTCCCTCTCTCCCTCTCTCTCTCTCTTTCCATTGCTTCTTTCCTCTATTCTATTTTTCTTGCTTTCACATCGCACAGGCGGACAGAAAAATAGAGATTTGATGTGTACGCCTGCACTAGCTGGGTATTGTCGAGCCTGAGGAGGATCGCGTCATTGTAATTCGGTACTCAGCGCGCACGTGGATGAAACGCCGCGCTTAATCAATACTCCTCGCAAGCGCTCGACGCGGCTCGACCAATCGCGAATTTACTGAGGAGGGCAGGATCCTGTAACATCGTGCGTTTCTCCCTCACGAGAAACAAGGCGGTGCCGGAAACGGCTCAGTCCGATCAATTTTAAGGCAGCTCGTCGGTCAGCAAACTAGTCGGTTCTAAACAGGTCTGCTTTAGAGTAGCCGATTGGTCCTCGAGACTGCGTTTCAGACCCTCTATCGTCTGCATTAGCATCTGCCGTCGTAACTGGGACAGTTGATGTTGAAAGTATTGCGAGTCCTGGGCATTGTTTGCATTAGCTTCGGCCGCCAATCGCTCTTGTCGCAGTTGCGCCACTTTCTCCTTCAGAGATCTTCTCGAGTCATCTGCGCAAACAAATAAAATAATATTCATCGACAAAATATATTGTATGACCGACGGATTAAATTTGCGCAAAGCTTGTTGATAAAATAAAATAATTTGAAAAGTAAAATATAGAAAACTGCTGTATCTCTGTACGCAGATATCTACCAGTATCATCAGTTGCTGTGTCACCGTCAGAATTTCTCAGCATAACGTGTTCGCCTAATGTTTTTTGTATTCTACCGTACGTAGCGCTTCCGGCATATACTTTTCTTTTTACCGGCTCGCTTTGCGGACAATAGGAAGAACTTTCTTTAATGGGACCCATATCGATTGACCTACAGTAGAGTCTTGTGTTGTAACAATTATATATACAGAGTATCTTTTTTATTTACATTGTCATATTTCAATATTACTAGTATCACTTACCGTTAATATTAAATATAAATTAAATATAAATTAAGTGTGCAATTTTTTATTTTCAAACTATTATTATTTTATGTTGAGCCTCGTTTGCTATTGAAGACATTATCAAATCAACTACTAACCTGAAGGTCATTAATGGAGCTCTCCGTCTAACATCGCATTTCTCTTCAGAATCTGACGAGCTTGACGTCACTCCCTCCTCCTTCATCGGTTCTCTCACGGCGCGAAACTCTTTTCTGCCTCCCGCGAGAGAACTTTTAAATGTCGCGTTTGCGAACGTTTTATCCTCGACAGACGTGCTTTTATTCACTACTTCCGGCTTCGGTCCCCCATTGCAATTCAACGCGATCCGAGGCGATCTATTGCACTCTCTGATCTCGAGTTCGCCGTTGCGCGCTCGAGTTGCCTGCACTTGATGGTGCATCAGGCTTCTGCTTGGTGAGCTCTGCGGCGTCATTCTGCGTAACGTCGCCGGTGAATCCGAACACTTGGACATCTCGTGCTGCCGATAAGCGAGTGGTAGCTCTTTCGGCGCGAAACCGGCCGAGTTTCTCTCCATAAAGCGATGAATCGGCGAACACGGTTGCTGGGCGAACTGCCGCTTGGGACTGGTGTGCTCGAGATCACGAATACTGCCGCTCTGCAATTCCGGTTGGGAATTGCGGCTCTTTGACAGCGCCAATTCGATGTTTAGCTCCGTGTTCTTGATGAGCTCGACGCGCTTGTTCGCCAGACCGTTATGCAGTTTGCGCGACGGCGACGGCACGCAAGGCGATGAATTCTGATGCTTCTGCATGCTCACCAGAATATTTTCCGCCTCCAAGATGAGCTCGCGGTACTTGCGGTCGGCTTCTTTGTCCGCCTCAATGAGCGCGATCTCCGACGCGAACGTGGTCATGTACGTGTTGCCAGCCACGTGACGCCGCACTATGTTGCCATTTACATAACTTATCTTGAGAAACAAAAAATAAATCGATATGATACCTCGACCTTTTTTGTAAATATACAAGATCGATTGAATATTGTATGAGTTTTTTACCGAATTCGATCGTCTTTTCACGATCTCGTTTTCGATCACGACGGGTCTGATGGCGGACGAGGTGCCGTTCAGTCTCATCGGTGAGAGATTCTTATTGACGTCGTGCTTCCTACGCCGCAGACACATCGGCGTACCGCCCACGCTTCTGCTTCCCTGATTGAATCCCGAGTTTTTCAGTAGCATTCTCTCGACCAGAACGCGATTCAAATTTGCTGTCTCGTCGTCGCACCGATCCATAACGGGCTTGCGACGCTGCGATATTCTCTTCTTACGTTTCTCGCTTTGCTTGTCGTCCATTTTCTTATGCCGCGTGCTCTGTCTCTTCGTGCTGGTTCGTGCACTCGTGCTTCTGGTAATGTAACAATCGTACATTTATATAACGCAACTTCAGTATCGCGTGACACAAACAAAGACAGGTGGTAATACAAATTTCAACTAATACTCATATACGATATACATGTTATAAAAAATATAAAACATCCTTGGTGAGAAATACTCTTACCTTTGAGAGACAAGTTCGTCTTTAGTTCTGCGTTTGAGGAAAGATTCGCGGAGTCTGGTGCCGCGTCGACTGAGCTCACTGGTAAAGGCGAAGTAGGTGCAGTGACCGGTGTTCGGAAGATGTCCGCCGCATTCGATATTGTCCAGATCAAGAAACGAGCCATTGTCGATGTAGTCGAGTTCGTCGTTCTCAAAAGGATCGTTCTCGTCGCCGCCGTCCTGACCAGTGTCGATGTCCGACAGTGAATCGATGTAGTCCTCGCAATCGGTCGGATCACTGTCCGACAGGATGTCCGTCTCCTTCTCGTATACGTAGCTCTCGTCAAATTTGCCCATCATCTCGTTCAACGTGATGTCGTCGTCGGACGATCGCACGCTGCGCGTCACGGAAGACGCCGAGGAGCTACTGCTGCTGGCTCGTCGTTGCAAGGCCAGAGGAATCTTGGGTCGAAGATCCATACCCGATGTGATTCTCCAATTTTGATTGATTCTACGCGAAACGATATTGCAAAAACAACATGGTAAAATTTTTTTAAAAACAAGCAACTATAGAGATTTGAATATATTTAACTTTACAAACCATTTTGCAAAGTGGAGATTTAATTAACACGCGTATAAATACGAAAATATCAACAAATGAGTAAAGTTTGGACAAGTAGACACTGTAGTAAATTTTATTTTAATGCATGCATACATCACCCAACAGAATTATTTTATTTGCATACATACGCATTTGATGTATTAAATTAGTAAAAAGTCATAATTAATATATGATAGTATACATTGATAATTTATACGATGGTGTAAGAGTTTATTTAAAAAAAAAAAAAAGTATAATATAATATGCATATTTAATCAGAGCGAGTGTAAATTATAAATGTTTAATTAGCATAAAATTTACGCGCAATTTGCAAACCGATAATAATCACATTGCGAAAGGAATTATTATGTTGATCGTTGATGTCACGCGTAATTGGCCATCCGCGCGAAGTTGATTGCGAGATTAAAAATTAAATTTGATGTGTGCGCACAACAAAAATCCATTCTCGTAATTGCGCGTCGGATCGACAGCCAATAAAAGTAACAACAATTACGTGAGGTTTTTTTTGTTTTTATTTCGAAAACTTTTCCAACTGTTGGCTTATCCTTTAAGTATATTGCTCTCTCCTTTTTTCGGTTGACTTCAGACTAGAAAGCTAACGGATTTCAGGAAAGAAAGACGTGAATACCCCTCCTTCCACCCCAGTTCGCAACTTACGCAATTAAAAGTTTCTTCTATAAAAAAATTGGATCTATTCAATCCCGACGAGAAGCGGCGATGTGGCTATATTGGATTTTCGTCTTCTCCAATATTCATCGCGTTTTATTCTTATAACGGGTTACGGGTTTTTTATTTGACTAATTTTCAATTTTTTGTTGTTGTTGTATACAAAAATCACGTTTGATATTTTATTATTATTATTATTATTATTATTGTGATGCGATACAAACATCGACACTTACGGGCTTCGACCTGCGCTGAGACTTTCCTGACGATGCTCCTTTCTGCTTTGAAGTTCCCTTCCGTTCAGATTCAGATTGACATCGCTGGCGCTACCGGACGATTCCGTGAGCTTCAGACCGGAGCTGCTGCTGCTCTCGTCCAAAGCGAGCCGTGACTTGAGACCGTTCGTGCTAGAGCCGGATGAGTTTGCCGACAGCCATGGATTCGTTCGGATGCGGGAACGCTCGCGGGGCGATTGCACAGAAGCCGAGACTAATGGCGGCGGTATCGACGACGGCACGGGCAAACTGTTCCTCGAATCGGCGGAATAAGATTCCGTTCTGCGATGAAAGTTCTCCTCCTGTCTCTGTTGCTGCTGCTGCTGCTGCTGCTGCTGCTGCCTCTGACCATGATTTGTCGGTGTCTCCGCGCTCTGTCGGTTTTATACAAAGCTAATAAATTTCAAATATAAAATATACACAAAACATGCTTCGATTACAAAAAAAAAACGCTGAGAATTTTCATTGAAGTTTCTTTTACAAAGGACCAATGTTTTTCTTGTTCCGCGTGTCGCGTTAAAAAACAATTTATCTAGTAAACTGTATATTTGAAGCTCTTTATATTTGTCATTCTGTTTTCGTATTCTCATCCTTACTGTACATCGCGATTCTCTCGGTTGTGCGAACGTAACAAGGGTCTCCGTGAGTAGCATACAATCGATTACAGTCTCGAGAAAAGGGAGGAATCATTTTTCACTCCTGCCGCCCATTAACGTCCGATATCCTGGCACACGTTCCGCGACAAAAATGCATCCCTCTCTCGAGTCGCGAGACTCGACGGCGGCAAAGTGAATCTTGAAGAAAAGTGGGCGCTGTGGAGAGAGCGCTTTTTATAGAATTTCTCAAGTCTACGAGCGTATCCTTCGGAAGAGAAAAAAAAAAGGCACAACAATGAGCGCCAAATAAATATTTCTCCCTGACAAATAGCAGTACGTGCACCATAAAGGGAATGGGTCATCGTTTTCCACCGCTTCTCGCGCTTCTCTCTCTCTCTGCTTGCTTGCGCGAGCTCCAACGACGGGGATTCATAAGTTTCATGTTGCGCTGCGTCGCGGTATGTGTGTGCGTAGCGCGGCGATAAACGCTCTACTCCAGAATGTATACTTCCTGCTTGGCGAAAAAGACCGGATGTCGTTGAACTCGCGGCTTCAAAGACCAGCAACGAGCAAACGCACCCTCAAGACCTCCGTCCGCGAACACCTGGGGGTGATGTTTGAGAGCAAAACGGTAATCTCGCGCGCGGCGACCCCGAAGAACATTTACTTTCGGCGTACAAAATTATTTGAGGAAGGGTTGAAAGAAACGCGTGTTTGACGGCGGAGACGAGCCACCTTTGCTCTTGTAAATACATTAATATCAGGGTGGTTCGAAACCCGTCGTCGCGGTAAGGTGTACGCTCGCGACGTTTTTTCTCAATCGCCGTGTGATGTCTTGTAATTTTCATCAATTTCATCACTCGAGAATAGTTTCGAGCGCGTTCAGTCGTATCGATCAAGATACGAATTTTTAACTCGCACAAACAACGCAACGCACTTACTTTATTCGAGGTGTTTGTTCGTACTTCCGGCTGGCCGTTGTCTCTGGTCATGTTAGTCGTACTCGCGGATGACTGCCCTCTGTCCTCGACTCTTCCATTTCCTGTCGCGGCGGACCCGGCCGCTGGCAGCTCTGCGACTTCGCCCGGCAGTCTCTTCAATCTTGCTTTGTTGCTGTTATTGTTGTTATTGTTGTTGTTGTTATTGGTGGTGGTGGTGGTAGTGGTGCCGCTGCTGCTCTGAAAATAGTGAGTGCCGGTCCTAATGTTGATGTAGTACTCGGGCGGGAAACTGGTGCCGGGTGAGGTGCCGTCGGTCGAGTAGCCGGTCGAGTACGCGCTCTCCGGCGAAGAGAGGCTCACGCTTCCGGCGGTACCGCCGGAAGTGCCGGACGAGCTGGTCACAGTTGCGCCGTAGCTCCCGCCCCCGTGCAACCGGATACCGTCCACGTTTTTCGTCGGTGAATCTACCGGATGTACCTGGAAGGAAGATCGAGATTCCTCCGCGTGTTACTCCACCATAAATTTTCGTATATTCTAAAAATGTTGCTCATTTTTTATCGTCAGTGACTTCTAACTTTATTTGTGTTTATTCTTTCTCTCAATAATCTCATATTTGTTTTATATAGAACCATCAAAATAACAAATAATATTTATTTTTAATAGAGAGAGATTACAGTGTATAAGAAACATTAACATTAGAAGAGATCTCCGGTTTTGTTTTAAACATTTCCTTTATTTCGGATATTTTATTTATTTGAATATATTTTGTGGATCAAAAATCAGTGTGAAGTGTATCGAGACCTCGAAGAATATAGTCCGTGTATTAAAATTCAAAGGACAAAGGACACGGCGATAACGTGTTAAAGGATGAATTTACGTAACAAAAATTCATAAATTCAATATTTCCTGTAATGTATAGTTTCGATCAGACAGACCGTCCGATGCATAAAACCTGAGAATACTGCGGCAACAATTCGCAATGGATGGCGTGTGAGAGAACAAGGAACGAGTTGCCCGGCGTTGTGTGTCGAGAAAAGAATACTAAACCCTTTTTCTGCCCGCCTTAACGATAAGCGTCGACGTGCCGTACCTCGGAAAACGCCGACGTAAGGGTCTGTTAGCGGAGAAACGGACGAGCGTAACGAGCAAACGCTGGCAAGCAGTAGGAAAATAGAGGAAGCACTTCGCGAACTAGTTTGCCGATAATGACGACGAATCCGGCGCGAACATGTACCTTTCAAGATACTTCAAGAGCTGTTCCATGCCGAGCGATCGCAAGTAAAGCAATTAAGACTAAACTGACGCTTAATGTGAGTATAATTATTATTAAAAAGACTTCTATTTAAAAAAAAAAAAAAAAAAACAGATCTTTGAATAATGCGTTGAAAAATGAATCTTTTTAACGATTTAATTATATAACATTGAAATAATAAACTTGATTTTAAAAACGTGCTTTTTTCCCCGATGCGAGGATAATAAAATCTGTGTAAAAAAAAAAACAAAACAGAAGTATTATATTGTGTGGCAGTTTTCTACAACGCGCGCACTCTACTTTATTTGAAAATACAAAATTACAAAATAATAAAAAAGTGTTGAAAGAGATCATACATCGTATATAACGTACTAAAACCTTTACTTACATTTACCTGTATGACAAAATAATTATCATTACTGAGCAATTTACTCACTTGATGCAAAGCGGGCGATCTGTTGGCGCTGTGGCTTCTGGGAGAGTTGCAGTTCGAGTCAAATCCCTTGTCACCCTTCTTACGTTCTTTTTTCTTTTTCGATCGCACGATATGCGCCTCCATCCACGTGCGCAATTTTGTCCCGAACATGTTGTACACAAGTGTCGATTATAACAGAAACGACGCCTCGTCGAAAATGCCCAAGTGGACAGAAGAACTTCTTCTTCTTCTTCTTCTTCTTCTTCTTCTTCCTTGCGCTACTCTCGTGGAATCGCTTGCAATTGTGTTATTTGCGCGCGCGTCTATTCAAGCGCTCCATTTCACGGTAAAACAGTACTTCTGTAACAAGAGCGATTCGCTTGCGAATGATCGTCCATTCTCGCTTCAAACAATGAAAAAAAAAAATCAGGAACGCGCGAATTATTTAAAAGTCTCAAGAATATTTTAATTTTTCAGATATTTTTAATCGTAAATCTGAAAACTTCATGCTATTATTTTAATCATTATCTCTGGACGAACGCATTTGATTTCATTAGAATTTTAATTTTTTTTTTCAGATATCTCTGATTACCTCGTAGATCATTGCCGTTCGCTGAATGATCCACGGAACGATTGTTAATATACCTAGTTGTTATCAATATACCTAGTTGTTTCATCAATTATTTACACACGGATGTCGTCGCTATCAAAGTTTGCTTTTCAATTCGTCTCTTCGTCGTCGGGATCATCAATAACACGTAAGCATCTAGCACTAACATGCCGAAGTGAACGTTTTCACTTCTTATGTCATTTTTCTCGGCTCTAAAGTAGAGAAGCGACGCAGAAACGATAAGTCACCATATTCGTATCGCTGTTCCCCCGATCTTGTGTGACACAATAAATCTGTAACAGAACGTACACATGGCTTTGTATACCCTTACGTGTATCGCGATTACAAATTAATTGAAAATGAAAAAGCAACGTGATTCTCAAATAATTTAATTCTGATTAGTGATCAAAGTTCATATTACGTTTCATTAATTTTTTTATATTATTATAAGATGGATTTTTCGGTTTGGAAAAGTTGCAGACTGATGCTACTCCCTTCAAAGAAGATTATTTATTCTTCAAAGAAGATTTTTCTTCAATTTTTCAAACAGCTTGTATAAATCTCGAAGACTTCAAGCAAAAAATTTTTCTTCGCATTCGGCAAGTCTTGATTCGAGTCAAGAAATAACGAACTCTTCGACTCTCATTATGTCAGAATGGATATACAATCAGTGAGGTAAATTTAATTAAGAACCAACTACCACCATGCAATTTAACTGGATTAATTAATGCTTCACACATTCGACCTTCTGCGTGGCTTTAATAAAAAAAAAAAGTTTTTTCCCCTCCTTCAAACTTTCACCAAATTTAATTACCAAAGAAATTTGTTTTTCAATAAAATTCTATAAAACACGAAATTTTATTTTTTAAATACAGATAAAAATCTCTTTATGGTTCAATTTACAAAATTGCAATCCTTCAATTTAATAATAAGCTTCTGCGAAGTTAATTTAATACAAGGATAATAAAGTCTGAAAGTTTTTTTAAGAGCAGAATTAAACATCGCTGTCAAAATGTTACGTAAATTCTCGTACGCTTTTCNTTTTTTTTTTTTTTTTTTTTTTCGATTCTTACACAATCCTTTACATATTCATGACATTCAATTATTTTGTATGCTGAACAAGTCGCCGCTCCTGTTTGCCGTTTATATACGCTTTTCGACGCTTCGAAAGAAGACGTGAATGCAAATTTACCTAAACGCGGTCTAAGGCAGCGCGTAGGTGCGGACGCGATTTCGGAAACTTGCGGGTAGAGGCAAGTCTTTTATGGTAATAAGAGGATATAGATGCTGTCGTCAACTTTTAAGAGGCAATGTCGAAGAGGGTATTACGAGAGCGCCGCGTCGCGCCGGTCGAGTTTTAATCAGGGCTTTTCGTCGTCGTTGTTCCGAAAGTTCTCGGCATATGGACGTAATCAAAAATTATTAAATGCACTTTTTGCACACAGACCACAGCCTGAACTTTCGGTCGTCGTTGTACGAAGAGAAAGAAAAGTCCTTTGCGCACGAGCGTAATAATTTTATTACACACGCATTATACGTGAGAGAAAGGAAGGAGAGAGAGAATATTAGCAGCGTTAATTAAACTTCGTGCGGCTGGCAGATTTTGTGAGACATAAAATATACACGGAGGAGATGAGAGATTAGAGTTACAAATTTCTCTGGCCCTTCTCTCCAAAACATTTGAAGCGGTTTATAATATAATAATTTACTTTATTTAAATCTTTTCCTTTTCAGCTCTTATATTTCCATGCCTTTCGCGCACCATATCTGAAATGTTGTTGTTAAAATATTTTAGTACGCTTTTAAAAAAACGTCAACGCTCTTATTAGCCTTTCTTTCGCAACTGTTCTTTTTTCTCTCTTTTTTTTCGTCCGTTTTGATTTATTATTTTTGTTATCGATTTTTAATTTAGCGACAAAACCAGATTTTTACGCAAGGTTTTGCAAAAAATTATATCTTTAGGTTTTTTGTTCTCTACATTGGCGTCTAATGAAGGAAACACGTTTCTATGTATTTTTCTCTGAAATTTTTTATTCACTACACATTTTTTATTCATCTCCATCAGTCATGGCACAAATGTGATTTTCTCGTTCAGCGAGAAAACGCTACGTCTTCTCTCGTATACATTATGTACTGAATGCTATATGTGCTGTAAGTCGCAGGCCATGTGCAAGCTTCGTCGCAATGCATATTTACTCGCGGAGCCGTGCTCCTCTCTTGATCCATCCGCGCTTATCAATCTTCAGAAGGAGAGAAGGACTTTTTGCGAAATAAATATTTCGTCGGCAGTGCTCGCGTCATCGTCGTAGACTAGATTGAATCGTCCTTCTTCCTGCGTCTTCTCTTCTTGACTCGGGCGACTCTACGTGAGCGGAAACCTAGAAGACGACGACGACGACGACGACGACGACGACGTCGCGACGCGTCGTTCCCCCGAATCGAACGCGGGGCGTTATTTCTCACGGGAATTCACCGACGATAGTGTCGTGACCGGGAGAATAAATTCGGGAAGCGCCGGGAAGAAGCGACATTGGTGCGACAAAAAACCGCAATTAAAATTCATCGAAATTAAACGATGAAAAATGGGAATCGTGCGAGGAGGCAATCTCCCTTATTTCGTCTCTTTTTAGACTTTTTTTTTTTTTATCTATGCAACTAAGCAAAACTCAATCGAGTATAAAAATCACGATCCTATTTGTAACAACTTCTTGTTTTCTTGCAAGCGTTTCCTTGACGAACCTGACAGGAAACGCTTATCAAGCGACCTCGACGCTCTTTCGCATTTAGCAGAAACTGAGCTCGTCGGATCTCTTAATCGCATCTGGCATCGCGACGCTCGTTAAGACGCGACTTGCTCTTCCCCGCGCGAACAGCAATGATCCGATTGCGTGTGCCAACGCACAAGTTATAACGCAGTTAAGTTTGTCGTCGTCGTCCCGGGATTTCATTTCCATAATGTTTCGACTGAATTTAAGGACTTCTAGGAGAACAACCCTCCCGCAGAAGGGTCCTCGTTAGTTCAAGGTTCCGACGTTCTCTTGCTTCGTGCACGTCCCCTTCTCTGTTCCTTCCCTTCCTGGACGTCATATCGACTTTGCGCGAACAAAGCAGCCAGCTTTGAACCACCTGCATGTATTCATGAAGTTTGCACGCTTCGATAATTACAGAATGAGTCGAGTAGTCTCTCTCTCTCTTTCTCTCTTCCTCTTCCTCTCTTTCTCTCTTTCAACGTCGGATGAGGCACTCGATCAAGACGTTCTCTAATTATCCGTTTCAAGCGGTTTTCTAAAGATGCTTGATGAGCATGGCATTTTTGCCAGCCGCGGTTGGCTGACATCGACGGTTCTGTGTTATTCACACGAATGCAGTGACCGTGTGTATACATAGTACAGTGCATACGTGTAAATGAAACAATTCGATCGTAATTAAAAATTATCTTGTATCACAGGTATTGTTTGACAAAAAAAAATGCACGCGAACTTTCAAAGTACATCCCGATGTTTTCGCAGTTTATATTCAAGTCAGTATATTATCACACCCAGTATATTTACAGACTACGAATTATTGATACACTTTGTCTTTTTAACTAAAGTTAAACTCAGCGCGTTTCCATCCCAAAAGCGACAACGTTCCGACGGTGGAAAGGGTTAAACTAATATACGACACGTCAGCACACGCACTACACGTCGAGCTGGGGAGGAGATTTCAGGGTTAACGAGGGTTCCTTTGCGCGCCAGTATCGTCGTATCGATGAATGGTCAGAGACAAGAGCTCGTTAGTCTCGTTAGAGTTACGGTGCTCGCAAACAGGCGCGAGCCAGAAGAGAAAGAGAGAGAAAGAGAGAGAGGGAAGGGTAGTTCAAGTGAGTGCACCACACACCAACCCCTGTAATTTATTGTGGTCGAGGTGGCGTGTAATAACGATGATATCAGGGTAACTTCTGGCTTGATTAAAGCGAGGCTTATCGTCCGAGACCGATATGTTGTTCCTGCTGGAATTTTCCTACCTTCGTCGACGAAAGTTTCGACCGGGTCGGCAGAAAATTCGCGCGGGACTTCATCATCGGGACTGAGTCATCAATTTTAATCCGCTTATCTGACGGGCGGCAAAATATCTGTGTACTTGGAGTATTTAATTCGTTAAGTACACTAGAGAGACGTACATGACCAACTATTTGTATTGCGAGTTGTGATAATGAAGAAAGTTCATCTTAGGAGAGAACTTAAGGGAGTTCATTAAATATACATTCACAAAAATATGTATGAAAACACTTTCTTCAACACAGAAATAATTTAGAAGCGACACTGCAAAGCGCATTGAAATGAGCGTGAAATATGTTGCTCCCGCTCTCGGGTGCGTAAATCGAAATGCCAGAAACCCACGGAATATCAAGGAAAGTTTTGACGTAACACATTGGCTATTAATCATCGTGACCCTGTTACGAGGGTGTTCACTTGCATTTCCCCTCCAGCAAAATGGAAATGCTGTAATACGTGTAGAAGCATTCAGAACGTCATCCTCCGTGCGGAATTCCGAAGTAGTCCGAAGACGAGTTTTATATGCAACGAAGTGCAGCTGCTTGAAGGTGTGTTTCACGTATAAATAAATAAATAAATAAAACTGTTTGAAAAACATCGTAGAAATTACACACCACGCGCACGTATTTTGTAATTTAATTTCTATTTTCGCAACTATTGCTGCTTGCAAGAAAATTTTTCCTTCTTTTCTTCTCTCGTTTTTCTTTTTTTTTTTTTTAATTTGCTAAATGTCTAAGGGGAGCAGCGAGTTCGAATCCTTCGGTTTAATTTAGTAAATGTAATAATGTAATATTTAATATTAAACTTGTGCTCGCGTCGTAAAACATATTGATATATATATATATATTTTTTTTTTCATTTTTTTGATAGATATATTTTTAATTACTTTTCTAGCCACAAAAATCATGTGTGTAAAATTGATAAAACAAAGAGAAAGAAAGAGGATAGCAGATTCAACTACTAACAATAAGATAATTATATTTTTTAGAAACTCTCCGTGCACTTGCTTCGTATAAACGTCTCTTTTTACAAAAGCATCGCCGACTGCGGGAAATTTTCTCTTCTTTTTTTTTTTCCCCAGTTTTTTAATATCAATTTAACAGACGCCTGGGAACTTCCGACGCCTGGCCGGAGGTTCGCACGGATGACAATACAACGGCGCGTTAATTACTGCGCGCGGCGGTCCGAGAACAAAATCCACGATTCGAGGAAAATTCACAACGTTTAACTTAATGGCTCTTAGAAGCGTGTAAAAC